GTGGGACGATGGCACGGTATGTCGGACGTGTTGGCCTAGCCGAAAACAGCTGCTGGCGCACATGGCCAACTCAAAAGGGGGCTCTCATGGGAAACTCCACATAGGAAGGGTTCTCACGATCACGAACGCCTGCCCGATCTGCAAGAGCGTGTTCAGAGATCGTGCCAGTGCCGTCCATCACGTTGCTGCGAGTATGAGGCGCAACTATTGCCCTATGAATCGAGGACGGTACGAGGCCACCATCATAGAGCCCAAAAGCCTCGAGTGCCCAGTTTGCTTCGTGGAGCAGCCCTCCATCGCCGTCTTTCTCGAGCACGCTGAGGCGCACATTCGGCAGCATCTCCTCCCCTCGTTTCAGATTCGCGAGGCGCTCGGCACCGCACACAGCAACCCTGAGTGGAGGGGTACGAGACTCAGCAGGGGCGATGTCGACGGGAGGCGCCGCATCGTCTGCGGTGCAAGTCGCCCACCAGCCCGCGTCGTGGCTCCTCAGGAAGGACAGAGTCAGCGCAGCTCAGGACAGAGCGGACAAGCACAAGCAGCGCCGCCAGATGGACGCGGGGGACGAGGACGAGGACGAGCACGAGCCAGGCCCACTTCGCAGCCTGGTGTACCAGCTCGAGGCCAGGATGCGCGCGGTCGAGCACATGGGGTTCGTCAGCGTGCTGCTGGATCGCAACCACCCGTGCATCGTGGAGAGCAACGCGGCGTTCCAGCGGTTCCTCACAGACAAGAAGAACCACCCGGAGGAGGATCGTGGCACGCCAGCGTGCCAGAGTGCTTTCGCAGTTCTAGACGCTTTGCACAGCTACAACTACAAGGACACCTCACAGCGGCGGGCCGCATGCGGGATGTGCATCGCCCGCCTGATGAAGATGATCGAGCACGGCGGCCCGACCATTGCACAGACGTGGATCACCGAGATGGTCGCGAGCCCCACATTCGACCAGCCTGGCAAGACGCAGAAGTCACGCCTTACTTTCAACCTCAAAGGCCAGATCCTCATGGCCACGCAGGTGGCAGACCACGAGAAGCTCATGGCGGCCATCGAGGGCGGAGACGACACGATCAAGCAGGTGAGCCCCACGGAGATGCCCACGACGATCCTCAACATGCCAGGCTACCTGATGGACATCAACCTGCTGCTCGCCGAGCAGATGCGCGCGGCGGGCGGCCGCCACCTAGTCAACAAGGCGCCGCGCGGCAACATGGCCAGGAAGCTCGGCGGCGGCAAGGGCAAGGGCCGCCAGAAGTAGGTAGGACACGTGCAGGCGAGTTCAGCGGTATCCCGTCCACTGGCACTGTGCCCAGGCTGCCCGTATCCCCAAACCCAATCGGAAACTGGAGTGTGACGGGGAGAGGCTGATCATGATGATGTGCACCCTGGGTCGGACCTACAACGCGGCCATGCTCAAACGTAAGAAGCCCCCATGGATTGCACCCGAATGGCTGTATGGAGGGATACATGGGAGGAGGAGGGAGGCGGCCATGGGGGTTCAGCTCGTGTCGTCGTATCGCCTGCAAGCTGGAGGAGCGTCTCATCTTCTCAGGTGTCACGACGCTGTCAACGCTTTCTACAGCCTCCATCAGGACAAGGTTCTAGAGGCCGCGGAGAGTTGTTATGACCCCCAGGACCTCCAGTTCATAGAAGATCGGGTGCGAAAAAACTTGGTGCACATCTCTGATGAGACGGGAAGTTTCTGGATGAAAGCTCGACGGGGCGTCTTCCCAGGGGACACCGGTGCCACCCGATTGTTCAACAGGACGTACCTCCCCCCCTTTGCGAAGTACGCCGACGCTGCCATCGCTCACCAGTGGCACATCGTCTTAGAAGCGGGTCTTCCTTGGAATCACAGCGAGAAGACTCAGATAGGACTCACAGGGTTCGTCGACGACATAGGTAGCAAGGTGTTGGAGGCGGGAGAGGGGACGATGCAGGAGCAGATTGAGCGCGGGGGGGCCCTCGAGAACGAAGCTGTCGACCGTGGGCTCGCGGAGATCGGAGCGAGTCAGAATCTAGAGAAGGAGGAGAATGTGTGCTATTTTGCAGGGTGGGGATCTTACACGGCTACGAGGGCACTAGCAAGGCAAGAAACGGCACTTGATGGGAGAGTTGTACATCACGTGCGCTACTTAGGTGGGCTTCAAGCGTCCACATTTTCACCGTTGCCAGAGTTGCAGAAGCGGTTATCTGCCATCAAGTCCAGCTTCCACAGTATGGGGGGATTCTGGTACAGTGACGCGCCCTTCGGCGTAAAGAGAAACGTAGTGAAAGGCTTGTTGGTAAACGCTGCCCTGTCTGGCCTCGAGGTGTGTGTACATGGACGGGGGCCTCTGCAAGAGCGGGACCTCCAGCATCACCAATCATACATTTTGGTTAAGTGTAGGGCCATACTACAAGGCACAGCGCGCATGAACGAGAGCGACACGCACGTTATCGTAGATACTAACACGCAGATCCTTAAGAAATTTCGAATGGGCAGTCTTTACCTTGAATTACGAATAAGAAGACTTAAATGGATGCAAGTATTGGTTGCCAACAAAGATGAGCACGTGCAGTTTCTTAGCGCGGTGTTTGGAAGTATGGTATGTGACGGGGAGGTCTTTAGCGATGGCATGGTCTCCGACAAAGCTAACCCTTGGGCCCAGCAGGCCCAGCAAGACATACTATCACTACGGGAACTCGAGGAAGGGCAGACGATGCTAGATAACCAGACCATCTTTAGTATACTATTCGAGGACCCCACGGACTTCGTCAAGATTGATGTCACCCAGCTTAGATCGATCTTCTACATCACAGATGAGGAGGAGAGGATCAGGAAGGAGGTGAACAGGACGGAGGGGGAGTACGTATGCCAGGAGGTGTGGGACGATGGCACGGTATGTCGGACGTGTTGGCCTAGCCGAAAACAGCTGCTGGCGCACATGGCCAACTCAAAAGGGGGCTCTCATGGGAAACTCCACATAGGAAGGGTTCTCACGATCACGAACGCCTGCCCGATCTGCAAGAGCGTGTTCAGAGATCGTGCCAGTGCCGTCCATCACGTTGCTGCGAGTATGAGGCGCAACTATTGCCCTATGAATCGAGGACGGTACGAGGCCACCATCATAGAGCCCAAAAGCCTCGAGTGCCCAGTTTGCTTCGTGGAGCAGCCCTCCATCGCCGTCTTCCTCGAGCACGCTGAGGCGCACATTCGGCAGCATCTCCTCCCCTCGTTTCAGATTCGCGAGGCGCTCGGCACCGCACACAGCAACCCTGAGTGGAGGGGTACGAGACTCAGCAGGGGCGATGTCGACGGGAGGCGCCGCATCGTCTGCGGTGCAAGTCGCCCACCAGCCCGCGTCGTGGCTCCTCAGGAAGGACAGAGTCAGCGCAGCTCAGGACAGAGCGGACAAGCACAAGCAGCGCCGCCAGATGGACGCGGGGGACGAGGACGAGGACGAGCACGAGCCAGGCCCACTTCGCAGCCTGGTGTACCAGCTCGAGGCCAGGATGCGCGCGGTCGAGCACATGGGGTTCGTCAGCGTGCTGCTGGATCGCAACCACCCGTGCATCGTGGAGAGCAACGCGGCGTTCCAGCGGTTCCTCACAGACAAGAAGAACCACCCGGAGGAGGATCGTGGCACGCCAGCGTGCCAGAGTGCTTTCGCAGTTCTAGACGCTTTGCACAGCTACAACTACAAGGACACCTCACAGCGGCGGGCCGCATGCGGGATGTGCATCGCCCGCCTGATGAAGATGATCGAGCACGGCGGCCCGACCATTGCACAGACGTGGATCACCGAGATGGTCGCGAGCCCCACATTCGACCAGCCTGGCAAGACGCAGAAGTCACGCCTTACTTTCAACCTCAAAGGCCAGATCCTCATGGCCACGCAGGTGGCAGACCACGAGAAGCTCATGGCGGCCATCGAGGGCGGAGACGACACGATCAAGCAGGTGAGCCCCACGGAGATGCCCACGACGATCCTCAACATGCCAGGCTACCTGATGGACATCAACCTGCTGCTCGCCGAGCAGATGCGCGCGGCGGGCGGCCGCCACCTAGTCAACAAGGCGCCGCGCGGCAACATGGCCAGGAAGCTCGGCGGCGGCAAGGGCAAGGGCCGCCAGAAGTAGGTAGGACACGCGCTGCCTCCGTTTCATCGGCACGGCAGGCTCCAGAACGATGTGGAGCGAGAGAGGGGCGAGGCAATGGCCACCGCCCCAACCCAGAGCACATATGACCAGGCATGGATCGTTGCTTGAATGGGTTCGAGACGAGACGAGACTCCTCCTCCTCCTCCTCCTCCCCTCCTCCTCCTCCTCCTCCTCCTCCTCCTCCTCCCCTCCCTCTCCACCACCACCTCAACCGAAATGCCTCCACATCCCTCTCCTCCTCCTCCTCCTCCTCCTCCTCCTCCTCCTCCTCCTCCTCCTTTCCTCCTCTCCCTCCTCCTCGTCCGAGCGATTTTTCAGCGATATCTCTTCTTCTCCTTCTCCTCCTCCTCCTTCTCCTCTTCTCCTCCTCTCCCTCCTCCTCTCTTCCTCCTCCTCCCCCTCCCTCTCCACCACCACCTCCACCGACAGGCCCCCACATCCACCTTCCTCCTCCTCCTCCTCCTCCTCCTCTTCCTCCTCGCCCTCCTCCTCGTCCGAGCGATTTCTCAGCGATTCTTTTTCTTCTCCTTCTCCTCCTCCTCCTCCTCCTCCTCATCCTCCTCCTCCGCATCCTCTCCTCCTACTTCTCCTCTTCTTCCCCCCACCACCACCTCCACCTGCATGCCTCCACATCCACCTTCTTCCTCTCTCCTCCTCCTCCTCCTCCTCCTCCTCCTCCCTCCTCCTCCTCCTCCTCCTCCTCCTACCTCCTCCTCCTCCTCCTCCTCCTCCTCCTCCTCCTCCTCCTCCTCCTCCTCCCCCTCCCTCTCCACCACCACCTCCACCTACATACCTCCACATCCACCTTCCTCCTCCTCCTCCTCTTCCTCCTCGCCCTCCTCCTCTCCTCCTCCCCGAGGACAGCATCTCGCCGTCCAACGACGGCCGGGGTTTCACCGAGCCCTTGCGGCCGCCGCGGCTGATGATGGACTCGGATGACGAGAGGCCGCGGGCGGAATGTCACCAGGGCGGAGCGCAGGATGAGTGCAAATTCTTGAAAAATACCAAATCCGATGTACAATGAAATATCGAGGATTGGGGATCGATTTCTGAAAAGGAGGAAGAGGTTATGGATGTTGTTGTGCATGTTTCAAGAATGCAGTTTCGAGGACTGATGATTATGAGCCCTGCGCGTTCGGCGTCATGGGGCGTCTTCAGGCCTCCAGGGGAGGGCTTCTCGTCGCTACGATTCGATTGAATTCGAGATTATGGCGAGCGAAAGCATCCGTGAACTCTCAGCGCGCAGACCACGCCACAGGATTCGTTCCCAAAACAGTGCTTGCACTCATGGCTTATTACACGTTCCCCAAACAGTGCTTGCACTCAGGGGCTCTGATTTGATTTTTTTTGTTTCTGAAGACCTGGGCTGGTGTGGCGGTCTGGCGGCCGTGCTGTCGCCGTCGCCGCCCCGTCTTCGCCGCCTCTTCGCCGCCCGTCGCTTGGGCCGGTGTGCCGCTCTGGCAGCTATGTTGTCGCCGTCGCCGCCCCGTGGCCGCCTCGTTGCCGCCTGGGCCGATGTGCCTCTCTGGCGGTTATGTTGTCGCCGTCGTCGCTTCGTCGCGGCCCTGCATGATTTCACCAGATGTATTGCCCCATCGTGACTTCGCATTTTTGCACCACGTAAAATGCGGCACGTGGATTCTCTTGTCTTAAAAGAGAATCGGTTCTACCCCCCTCCCCCCCCCCTCCCGGGTTAACGATCCCCCGGGGGCCGATGCAAAACACAGGATTCTGACCCAATGTCTATCTTATTTGTGAATTCGTATCATCCCAGCCAAACCAGGATCGCCCCCCCCCCCCCGCGCCATCCGTTGCAACAAATACTATGCGCGCACTCGCTAATCAAACGTCATAAATTTTCAAGAATCCCTTGCAACATATGTGACGACGAGCACAAGCGCGCGTTGTCGCGCCGGCATGCCGCAATCCTTCAAAAACCATCGGTTTCGGAAAGATGTTAAAATCATGTTCCCAAGCAACATCCAAAACACAGAGTTTCGCAGCACTGATGTTCTAAAAAAGTTACGCGCGCTTTCTAGCGAAATCTTAAGACAACCATCGTTTTTTCAATATGTTCAAAGCATACTACCAAACGGGCTTCGCGCGCGCGCATGTCGAAGTTCTTCGAACGCCCTTGCGCGCATGCCGTCGCGAGAATCCTCCGCGAAAAACGTGACGAAAAGGCACACGCGCGCGTCGTCGCGCGCGGATGCCGAAATCCTCCCACGGGTCAGAACAGTTATGGTACCATTCGACCAATCAGAGGGAGAAGGTGGCAGATTGTCTGAACGCCACCCCGCCCGGGGCGCGCACGAAATGGTGAATTCGCCCAGCTCGGCACGGACTTCTGCTTTTGGGGCATGTACTGAGGCAGCGCACAACCAAAAACGCTGTCGCGGTGGGGCAGTCGCAGGGTCCGTGCCGATCCGACGTATGCGATCGGGGCACCCAGATCGTCGGGCCACACTTCACCGACGTTGGCCCCTGGGTCCCGCTCTCTGGCCCCCAGGGCCGTCAAACGCTGATCCAGTGCGAAAGCTGTCCCCGGGGGAGGGGTGGCAGCGTCTGGGGTCGCGCAGGGGAACAGGGACACCGATCATCGGGTGTGCCTGGGGGTCTCCAGTCACGGGCGCCTCGGCGGCCCGCAAGGGGGTAGCCAGTTTGGGAAGGATTTCAACATCGAATGTCCAAACAACATACAAAAACACAGGCGTTCGCAACAGTTATTTTCAACGAAAACGTGCGCACGCGCTCTTGCGTCATCGTCGTCGCCGTGCCTCCTCCCTTGTCGTCGTCGTCGCCGTGGTCGTCCTCTGTCTTTCCTCATCGTCGTCGTCGTCGTCATCCTCTTTGGCGTCGTCGTCGTTTCCGTCGTCGATGGGGTCGTCGTCGTCGTCGTCGTTGTCGTCGTCGTTGTCGTCGTCGTCGAAGTCTTTGGAGACGCCGTCGGTGTCGTCGTAGTCGTTGACGGCGGCGGTGTCGTCGTCGTCGTCGCTGCCGTCGTCGGCGTCGGTGTCGCTGCCAAGTGCCAGTTGGTACCCACCGTCACGGTCTTAAGATGTCTTGCGGCCAAGTTGCGGGTGGGAGGGCGGGATGTTCGCACGAGCAGTGGAGAGGACAGTTTCAAGTTGAGCAAGTGATTGATTGCACCATGTAGATTGCACCACATGCACTGCACCTCAGAGATGGCACAGCATTAATTGCATAACATCTATCGCAGCACGCCAAGTTCACATTATCGATCGCACCGCACATATTGCACCATGCCGATCGCATCGCATATATTTCACCGCATGGGTTGCACCATGTGGAGTGCACAGCATAGGGCACACCATAGCGACACAACAGAAAGCGCACTACACATTGCAAAACATGTGTTGCCCCACGTACAGTGCATAGCATAGATCGCACTCCATATATTGCACTTCGTTGATTGCGCAACATATATGGCGCCACAAAGCTCGCACAACATAGGCCGCGCAACCTGGTCTACACATTGCACGACATATATTGGTCCACGGAAATTGCCCCACATAGATGTTTACGAACACGCCGTGTGGGATCCAAGGCTTCAGGATCTACCACCTCCCCAAGTGTGATCGGTATCCCCTAGTAGTGCGCAATTTAGATATATGACCCTCGACTACTGTTCCAATCGAATTCGAAATCCTAGTATCCCAGCAAAGCCTGGTTCGATTTCACCAGCAGCTTAGTCAAACTGTGCGCGTACCCGTTTACCAAACGCCAGCAGCTTTCATACATCCCCGACAGCGAATGTAACGAAGTGCGCACGCGCGCGCCGTCACGCGCGCATACGGAAGTCTTTGAAGACCCGCACGTTTCGTAACGAATTGCTAGTCGAGTGCCCCGCAAAACCAAAACAATCAAGCCACATGGTTTTTCAAGATGGTTGCGCGAGCAGTGGAGTTCACAGGTTCATTTTCGGCACGGTGGCTGCACCACATAGGTTCCACCGCATGAGTTCTCCTTGCTGAAATACAATTGGGATCTGCCCCTCCCCCCGGGATCATCCATCCGCTCGGGGATGTGCAAATTACATACAAACCTGTCTCATCGCTGGTTCTCTGTATGAACTCATACCATTTTGGCCAGGTCAGGTTCGCCCCCCCGCCACCCTTCGCAAGAGAAAACATACATGTTCAAGAACCACATGGGACGAAGTGCGCACGCGCACGTCGCCGCGCACGCATGCCGGAATCGTTCAAAAACCGTATGTGTCGCAAGGATGTCAATTTCGAGTGCCCCAAGAGACCCAAGAAGACACATGGTTTTGCATCGTTAGATTTGGAAAAAAAGTTTGCGCGCGCCTTTGTCAGTCATACGCGACCAGAAGGGCCTCCCGCGCGCGCGTGTCATAATCATTCGGGTGCCTTTGCGCGGTCGCTGGGCGGAGCACGGTCTTCGTCAATGACTAGCATGCGGGCCACTCACGCCCATCGCCCGCGCGCGCATGTCACACTTTTCCAAAAACCTTCATCACCGACGCGTGGGCACCACCATCGTAATCGGCGTGGTCAGCATCGGCGCCGTCATTTGCGTTGCCGTCGTCATCATCATAATCGGTGCCACTCGCATCGTTACAATCATCATCGTGTCTGCTGTTATCGACGTCGCAATGGTTTTGCGCCCGCCCCAGTCACCGACTCGCACTGAAGTGCCCGCGCGTCAGCGCGGCCTGCCAGGTGCGCTGGGTAATCCCCACCGGTAAGCGCTACCGCAGCGCGTCGGTCGCGCCAGACTACCTGGCCGCTTTGCGCGCGAGCCTGCGCGCGCGAGCGCGGCCGCAGCGATGCGCCAGCCAGCGCCAGGCAGGCATCGCAGTTGCCGCCTCATGGCTGTTGAGAATCAAGTTGCGGATGGGTGGGTGCGATGACTGCGCGAGCGGTGGACTTGGTATCTCGTTGCGAACACTAAATGCTTACACGGCATCTTAAGTTGCACCACGTAGATTGCACCACTTTGCTCGCATCACATAGGTTGTTCTACATGTATTGCACAACGCAGCGATTGCACGATATTGGCATTGCATTCGGCATAGGTTGCACCGCCTACATTGCACGTGGCTTGCACCACATAGACTGCACCACGTGTACCGCGCAAACCATAGCTTGCTCATCGCAGGTGGCACCACATGGATGGTGCGCATAGATCGCGCTACATAGATTGCACAACGTGGAATGCTTGAAACATGATGTTCGGGCCCATTCTGGCTAGCAGATTCCAAAGCTTAACGGATGGATCTGTCGGGATTTCGGCTGGAGCTCGTTTGCATGCCCGGGTGGTGTGGTGCCTGATCTTGAGCGCCCGTGGGCGCCCCCGCGTTGGAGGTGTATGCCGAGATTTCGCCTAGTGCCTGGTTGGTGCCCGGTGGACGACGCCCGAGTGCCCCGCGCTGCAGCGGTGTGCCGAGGTTCCCCCCGCCGCCCACCCCTGGGTGCCTCGTGGGTCTTCCCCTGCGCTGACGAGGTGATCATGCCGAGGTTTCGCCCGGTGCCCGCCCGCGGGCGCCACGTGGGTGTCCCGCGCTGGGAGGGCATGCCGAGGTTTCGGCCGGTGCCCGTCCGTGGGCGCCTCGCGGGCGCCCGTGGGCGCCCCGTGCCCTGGGTGGGTGCGCCGAGCTTTCGCCTGCCGCCCGACAGCTGGCATCTCGTGAGCTTTCGTGCGGGTGCCCTGGGTGGTACGCCGAGGCTCCGTGGTGCCTCCCGCCCGTGGGAGTCCCGTGCCTTGGGGTGTGTCGCATAGCTTGCACGCTATACCTCACAGTGGATAGCCTCCACCGCACCACTTCCACAACATGTCTCACACACCATTGGACACACCGCGTAGCTCGCAGAACATAGCTCACATCACATAGTTTTCACAACATAGCTTGCACCACATACTTTTCAGCACATAGCGTACGTACGCATATAGCTGCCACCAAGTAGCTCATCCACATATCTGTCGCCTCCACAGATCCTTGAAGGTTCTTGGTAGCAAGACGCTGGCCCCCATTGAGGTCCTGGCAAGCCGCTTCCCCTACCCCCCCCCCTTTAAGTCCTATCGCATTCCAGGGAGGGAGGGCGAGGGAGAGGAGGAGGAGGCTCGCTCACCAAACTGCCAGGTCTGCGAGCGGGCCACCACTGAACAGTACCTCGGGGCGAGTCGCGGCTACGCCGAAGAAATGACATTTGGGGACACCAATTGCTTGGGGCGCACCCCATCGCGCAGTCTGTCGCGGCGGCTGCTAGATCAGGGCCCGCCCTGCCTAGGCAGCAGCCTCTAAAGACTCCGGGGTGCCAGCCGGGCACGCGCTGCGAGCACGTGTGGGCGCGTGTTACTCGCGCGCGTTGGGAGACGGATGTCTGCACGCCCCCTTGCGTCCTTGGAGACGGGCAGGGGTTGGGGAGGACGGCGGGGGTGCACGAGGAAGGCAGGCCTTCTGCCGCAGAAGCTTGGTCTCTCCTGCGCAGGCCGCTCCGCCTAGCTGGGAAGGACGCGGGCGAAAGGGGCAGAGGGGAAAGCGGAGGGGCGGAACCAAAAGGAAGGGACAGGGCGGGAAGGGAGAGTGCGGGAGTGGGGGAGGAGACGCGCCGGGCACGATCAGTCGTCCTCGACAAGATCGTGAACGAGTCAGATTCAGCAAGCCCAGTCGCCAAAGCGCCTCCGGCAGGCAGCGTGCGCCTGCAAGGCGACCTGGTAGCCCTCGACGTTGTAGCGCACGACCTGGTCATGCACGAGTGGCGGCAGCTTGATGAGCGGTTTCCAGTCGTCCTCCGTGTCCTGGAACCGGCAGCCCATGGCCACCACCAGCGCGCGGGCAAACCGCGCGACGGCGTTTGGCGAAGATGACGTCGGCGACCCAGGCTACGGACGCCTGTTGGCGACCGAACTCCTTGGCCATGTCTCTACAGGCCTTCCGCCACTTCGCCCTGTCGGCGACGAGGGTCTGGTATAGGACAGAGCCGCATCGACCCAACAGCGTTTTTGCCCGTCGTGCCTTCCCGAAGCGTGCCCTTGCTCGTCACCCGCACTCTCCACATCATACGACATGCTCAATGCAGGTTCTTCGGCACGACAAGGGCAACGCACATGAACGATTCCAGAACGAGCTTCATAGACCACGAACAGTACCACTTGCTCAGGAAGCCCATCAGGTAGATAATGTGCTCTGGTTGCTCCCACCACACGCCTCAGGGGTCGGCGGAAAGCTGCTCGGCATCATCGCATAGCGCCCCGGTGTCGTGCCTCAGCACGAGTCTGTGCATGCAGTGCCCCGTGGCGCATCTGCCGTACATCTTCCGCAATATGTTGCAGAACGCGTGCAATTGGGGGGCAGACATCCATCTCTTACCCTAGGTTCTTGGAAAAACAGACAGACTCTTGGAAACCTCAGAACCACGCTGAACACGACTAACGAGACATGTTCTTCCCTCGCCTGGTGCCACAGGCAGCGACGGTCCACGTTAACAGAATTGTCAGTCATATCTAGCAGAAGGGCGGCAGAGTGCCTGCAGTGACCCGCCGCTTTTGCCGACTCCGTTTCTACACCCTGCTGCAAGACTAACTCAGTGATGCTGCGACCCATTTGATGGCAGAGGGAGGGTTGCGGGCGGACTGCCCCCAATTCTTGTGCAATGGGGAGCCCGCAATTAGCCCATACTTGTATATGGCGGGCATCCAGACAATGCTTCGGAATGCAGGTACCTCGGGCTGCTTCGACGCCGTCTTCTCAAGCAGAGTGGGAATTATCTTAAGAGTCTGCGACAGGTGAGGAGGCGGAGGAAGAGATGGAGGAGGAGGGGGAGAGGGAGGAGGACACGAAGGAGGAGGACACGAAGGAGGAGGAGGAGGAGGAGGAGGAGGAGGAGGAGGAGGATGGGGAGGAGCAGGAGCAGGAGAAGGGTTCAGGGGACAAGTTAGAGGAGGAGTGGTTAGGAGGAGAAGCAGGAGGAGGAGGAGGAGGAGGAGGAGGAGGAGGAGGAGGAGTTAGCTGGGCCGAAAGAGCCAGCGGGCCCGCCCATTGCCGCCCTTCCTCCCAGAGCATAAAGGCCAGTGCCGACATTACTTGGCATTGGGCCTGGAGCGTGCTCTCACCCAGCGAGCGGCAGGCGCTCGCGCGTGGCCCTGTTTCTGACGACCTGGCGAGGGGGAAGCACACTCGCACGGGCGGGAGCAGCGCCTCGGGGAAATCCTGGCGCGGCGGTGCGGCGAGAACGTTGTGCAGCCCCCTCTCGTGGGCGGCCTCAGTTCCGATGAGCGTGGCGAAGACGAAGCATGCGGCATGCTCCGCGCCGAAACAGCATTACCATTTCCACAAACAAAGGCACACAGACACACACACGCACACACACATTCACACACGCACACACACAGACACTGCGGGGCGTTTCGGCGAGGACAGCGTCGCCCGCTTTCGCACGGCTTCAACGCCGCTCTTGTTGTCATGCGATCTGGCGAGCCACGCACCCGTGCGGGAACGCCTAGGAGCTTACTCGAGGTCGACACGTCGCCCGCAACGGCTAGGCCTATGAAGAACGTGAGCCTCGCCATAGCGGACGCTCCATTCACAGGAAGTTGAGCGTGGCGTTGCAGCGAGAGCACTATTTCGTCCTTTCGCGCGGCGTGCGCGCCCCATCCCACTCCCGCCGAGTACTTTGCAACGGCGACAACAGAGCGCCCATGTTGAAAACGTTCTCCTGTTCCCACCCATCATCCTGTGGTGCTGGGTCCTCGTTTTGAAGAGACTGCGCCCCACGTCACTCGTTCCCCCTCCTCGTTCCTCAGCCTCTCCCTCCTCATCCTCTCATCCCTGCCATCCCTGCCGCCGACCTCCGCATGTCCCTGTTTCTGCCCACCCCTCGCACGCTTCCTGGCCCTGTAGGGAACTCAGCCGAAGGCCCCAGCGGCAGCCTCCATATGGCACACCCGCACCCAATCCGGCAGACCCATGAACGCTCCGTGGCCCCATAGGGAGTCCCACAGAAGGCCCCAACGGCAGTGCCCGCATGGCGTGCCCGCGCTCAAGTCCGCACACACCTCACGCTTCGTGGCCCCATAGGGAGCTCCTCCGAATGCCCTGGCGGCAGCGTCCGCATGGCGTACCCGCACCCAAGTCGGCAGACCCCGCACACGCTTCGTAACCCAATAGAGAGTCTACCATTGAAGGCCCCAGCGGCAGCGTCCGCATGGCGCACCCTCGCCCGACTCCGCACACCCCTCACACGCTACGTGACCCGATAGGAAGCTCTACCGAAGACCCCAGTGACAGCGTCCGTATGGCGCACCCGCACCAAATTCGTGGGGCACCACAGGGAGCCCCACCGAAGGCCGCAGCGGCAGCGTCCGCATGGCGTACCCGCACCCAAGTCGGCAGACCCCGCACACGCTTCGTAACCCAATAGAGAGTCTACCATTGAAGGCCCCAGCGGCAGCGTCCGCATGGCGCACCCTCGCCCGACTCCGCACACCCCTCACACGCTACGTGACCCGATAGGAAGCTCTACCGAAGACCCCAGTGACAGCGTCCGTATGGCGCACCCGCACCAAATTCGTGGGGCACCACAGGGAGCCCCACCGAAGGCCGCAGCGGCAGCGTCCGCATGGCGTACCCGCGCCCAATCCAGCAATACCCTCACACGCTTCGAGGCCCCATAGGGAGCTCCACCGAAGGCCGTAGCGGCAGCGTCCGCATGACGTACACGCACTCAAGCCGGCACACACCCCACACGCTTCGTGGCCCCATAGTGGTACCACCGAAGGCCCTTGCGGCAGAGTCCGCATGGCGTACCCGCGCCCAAATCGGCAGACCCCTCACATGCCGCGTAGCCCCATAAGGAGTTCCACTGAGGGCCCCAGCGGCAGCGTCCGCATGGCGCACCCGCACCCACTTCGCACACCCCTCCCTCACACGCTCCGTGGCCCCGTAGAGAGCCCCACCGAAGTCCCCTGCGGCCGAAGGCCTTCACCTGCACGCGATGTTCGCAGCTGCAGCTGGGTCCTTCGCCAGGATAACTTTCGATAGCTGCGATGGGTTCTCCTGGGTATTGCTGTCAGCCGGCTAGGTGGTAAAGTCGGAGCATCCCCGAATAAGGGGTATTGATGCTTGACAGGGAGGAGCGTGAGGGGGAGGTGGAGAAGGGAGGAGGGCGGGAAAGATGAGGACCGCCTCTCCCCCCCCTCCTTTTCCAGTATCCTCTTCTTTGCCCGCCTCTTCAGCACCACCATCATCACCATCACCATCCTCATGATCCGATCCCTTCTCCACGGCCCTCTCCTCGCCATCCTCCTACTCCTCCTCCTCATCCCACAGTCTCTCTCTCTCTCTCTCCGTATCCCCGTCTTCCACCGCCTCCGCTCGTAACCGCCCCCTCTCCCGGGAGGGCGGCGGAGAGCGGCAGCGACAGCGACAAGAAAAGCGAGATGCGCATGACCTCGATGCCGTCGGCGGCGACGGGGCCGGTGGCGCCAAGGCTCGTGGAGGAGGGAGGCGGAAGAGGAGGAAGGCGGAGGAGGTGGAAGGAGGATGATGAGGGGGAGCTTACCCGACTTCTCTTGAGT